TAAAAGATCTACAGTAACTTATCCCTTTAGAATAGGCCCATAGGAGGTTACCAGGGGCTGGGGGCAACGGGGAATAAGAAGTTACTATGTAATGAGTTCAAAGTTTCTATTTGGGATTAGAAAAAATTCTGGAAATAGATGGTGGTGATGGTTACAAACCATTGTGAATGTCCTTAATGCCACTGAATTGTACACTTTAAAATGGTTAAAATGGTAATTTTTACATTCTGTATACTTTACTAGTTTTTTTAAAAAACAGATACATACGGACTTCCATTTTCAGCAATATGGTATATTAGAATCCTGAAAAAAACTTCCTAGGAAAAAATACATAAAATATTGGGTAAAGTATTTTAAGTATTTCATAAATGCATAGTTGAGGTAGTAGAAAGGGAAATCTTCAGGTTTTTTTTTTTTTTTTAAATGCAAGATGAGAAAACAAATTCAGAGAGGTGAGTGAGCTCTAAAGATGGTATCTGCCCTGATGTCATCTGCTGACCTTAGCTATTTTAATAGGCCTTCAATAAGGACAGAAAATAAAGCCCAGAGACTTGGAAATTGGCCCCTCAATGAGTGAACTACAACAGACCAACCACCTGCTGAGTGTGACCGGAACAAAACTTGCCTCTGTTGGCCTTGGCTATAGATGGAGAAAAGAAAAAGTCTCCCATGAAATTTCAGATTATTTGAAGCCTGTAGGTCTTGGTAATTCCTATTGCTCCTAGTACAGGCTTCTTTTCCACCTCCTTTTTTAAATGTGAAAAATCATCATAGATCAACGTTTCAAGTAGAACACACCTAATTCATTCACTTGTTTTTCATATGACATATTTTCCAGACCTCTTACCACCCTTTGGGTACTTTCTGGCTTGTTCCAGTATTGTCTTAAGAAATGAGGGCTACCATGGAAAACAGTAACACAGATTCAGCTCAACCTGTACTGAGTGGAATGGGACTATTATCACTTGTGATTGCTGTATTTTTAAGAAACAGCCGATACAGAAGCTCTGAAAACTGAACAGAAGCTGCCCTTTAAAAAAAAAATTATTTATTTAAATTAGTTTTAAGTCTACCGTACATTGGTTAGACATCTATGTATTTCATAAAAAACGATCCCCCCAGTTGCTCCCCTTTTGTAAGAGACATTTACATTTATAAGGGAAATCTCCATCTGTAAGGATATTTGTACCGGGAAGGGAAGGATGACTAAATCTCTAGAAACTTAATCCATGCAGAAGGGCACAGCTTAAATCTACATAACAACCTTACCTTTACTGTGTTGACTATGCTTTTCCTGGTAACCTCCATAACTGCCTTCTCTCACCTCTTCCCACCCCTCCCCCACCCAGCATCTTTTTTTTCTTTTTACAGAAATTGACCTTTATTTATTGGACTAAAGTCTGTTTAACTTTTGATACAAAGTAAGGTTTTAGTACAGAAAATCCCAGTCTGTCAGAACAGTACCTGTGCACACTGTACCATCACAGTCTCACACCGTCTGCAACTCAGAGAAACAGCCCAGAGGGTAGGTGAGTAAGACTTCGAGACAGCCGATACTTTTTGTGTTAGCTATCTGAGCTAGAAAACTTGTACCTGTAAAACAAAGGGCAGCACTGAGGACTGAAACTTGTCTCTTTTTGAACAACTGTCCAAGAACATATATTCCTTTTTTAGAAATGTCAGTATGGCTTAACTATAATCTAGTATCTAGAATTACAAAGAATAAAATGAATTCAAAGATTTCTTACTAGTAAAATGAAATGTTAGCAATAGTATTAAAATATAGGTCCTGCCCCCGTGACACTTACACAGAGCCTGGTAGAGCACCTATTATTAACAGGATGTACAGCATAGTGAGGAACCACATCAAATCTTCAGCCAGAGACGTCCAGCATCAGAAGTGTAAAATGACAATAAACAAACAAACAAATAACAAAGACATCCTCATGGAGTACCATTCATGCTGAGTGAGGGCTGCAGCCAAGACTAAAAGATCTCACGCTCTTCTTATATTTTTGACAGTGACAATACTAATCATTACGCTTCCCTGAAGACTCAATTCAAAGTTTGAAACACAAATATTTTCATATCCAAAAGAGCTGAAGTGTCTATCCCACTCCACAGAGTGTAAGAACTACCTTGCAAACATTGCACTGATAAAGGCTGTCACTGTTTACAGAACCTAAAGAGGATCCAATGGCATGCATCAGCCCTAGCTTAACATTCTGCCTGGAACTGGTGTCTTCGTACACCCATGAGGCTCCAAAGGACCAGCCAAAATGCCGAAATGATAAATGCAGGTGGAGAAGAAATGAGAGGACATGGAAGGCAGGAGGGAAAGTCTGAGAGACAAGTTTGTAAGACTGCCAAAGTTGCCTTCCCTGGTGCAGGAGGGAAAAACACTGCCACTGGCGAGACAGCCCCATGAAGGCACTGGTTCTGCCAACCACAGATATCTAAGGATCTGCAGTTGTGATGTACTTCCAGGAGAGGTGCCATCGAGATGCATAAAGTTGTCAAGAGCTCTGGTCCCACTAAGAACCTTCTAAAGCAAAGTTCCAGCGTCGTTTAGCTGAAAAGGGAACAAAACGAACACCAAAGCAACACGGGGATCAACGGAGGGACACCAAACCCAGCATCTTTTGTCTTTAGCTGGAGATGGTATTTAAGATGAAGGCTTAAGGCCATTTCGGAGAGTTAGTCTTCTTGGATCCCTCCAATGTATACAGGACGTATACAAGTTATCAAATTTTGATTGTTTTTCTCCTGTTAATCTATCTTTTCATTACAGATGAATCTCAACCAAGAACCTAGAAGGGTAGAAGGAAAAGATTTTTCCTCCCCATATGGCCAAATGCCTACTTCAACATCATTTATGGCATCCCTGAAAATTTATGCAACCAGTGATGAAATGATGGAGTAGGCATCATCATACTTAATTAGTGAAACAATGTCAATAATATGAATAAAGTGTGCCACTTGAATGTTTTGAAAACATTTTAATATCCACTTTCAAATATATGTAAGAATTCTAAAATAACTGAGTGAAATTTTTCTTTACTTGTTCTATGTGTAAATCCAGTGCTTGAATACCAAATATATACCCATTACTGAAGAGTAAAATGCTGCCATAATTATGATTTTTAAAACTATTAAGTTTATGTAGAAAACCAATTAAGAATCTGCATTGCTCAGCTTTTGCTAGGTATGCTGTGGCAACAAACTCTAAAAAAAGAACTGTATTTAATTTTTTGTTATTTACTTCCACTTAGGTCATAAACCTTATAAGAAAAAGTCTCACTAGGGAGTTCTTCACATCTTGCAAGGGTAAATTGATGGCAGAATGTCAGTTTGCCACCTGAAAATTTCATTAGCAGGAAAAATTCCAACATCCTGTTCAACAACATCCTTGATAAATCATCTTCAATTTAGATACAATAAAGAATGTAAAGTATATGATTAAAATAAAGTGTTAGAGCAAAACAAGGTATCAAAACATTTTATTCCCACTTATCAAACTTCAAAATAATAGAGTTTATGAGAAAGCTTTAAGAAAAGAATTCTTTATAGTAGTAGTTCTATGTCTAGGGAAGCTAAAAATTAAAAATAAAAAAATCTTATTGACGATATTACTATAGACCACAAGTTAGCATGCTTTTTAAAGGCCAGATAATTAACATTTTAGGCTCTGCAAGCCATTAGGTCTCTGCCACAACTACTCAACTCTGTTGTTGTGCAAAGCTGCCATAGATAATACAAACGAAAGAGCATGACTGTGTTCCAATAAAATTATATTTACAAAATAGGCAGAGAGCTGGATTTGATTCTTAGGCCATAATTTGATAACTCCTGCCTTAGACTATGAACTATTTTCAGTAGTTAAAGATGAAAGAGTTTTCATATTTGCTGAAGCTATAAATCCTAGTCATTAACTTTCTTCTAGAAAAATGGGTTATCTAAACACGTCTTGAATTGTATTCTGCTGTGTACTGGAAGGCTGTGATATTACTAAACGCGATACTTTATCTTGGACGTCAGATATTTAGATATGCAGAAACAACTACAAGTCATGTTTAAGTCCAACATCACGATAAATTAATAATGAATTCAACTCTGCTTCTGTTCAGTTGTTGAGAGATTGCTGAGGTCTCACATAGCTATCAACATAACACATTCTAATTGAGGAACTATTTATAGGGTGGAAAATCAGTTTTGAAACGTGTCAATTGTTATTGATTATAGAACAAATATGGTAAAGGCTAAGAATGATTTAAAAAACGTAAGTATACAATGTTTTGTTATACACCTTTCAGTACTGTAACCGGAAAGCACTTATAACTAACTGTCCATAAGCAGAAAAATAATAGGTACTTCATCATACTTTGGTCAAAAACAAAAATACATGAGGCCCAAAGATTTTGGAATTGCCTTGTCATACATTTAACAAGATGTTTAAACAAGATAGACTAGCAGCCACTACATGTTTAAAAGTCATCTTGAACAAAACCAAAATAATACGCTTTTTGGATGAAAATATATCTTGTTAAAACTGCTTGTAGAGAAAGTACTTTGCTTGCTGGAACCTGAGAATTAAGTAACCAAACCAATGTTTTCAGAGTGTAAGTATTTCTTACATGATAGCTGCTGAAAAGATTCTCTTATCATTCTACTTTAGGAAGTTGCTGATTCTAGTATACATGAAACGAAACTGAAATGCAGATAGAAAAACCAAGACAATTGATTTCTTGAAAGCCAATTATATTGCTCCTTTACCACATTTTTAGAACCAAGGTTTAAGGACAGATTTTATTCATGTGACTGTGTAAAACAGCAATTGCCAGCAAAACATAAATATATTAGGAATAAAAAACATAAGTGAAGACAACACTTTCAAAAAAGATTCAGAAAATATTTTCTTCAACTGGTACTAGAAGCTTCCATTTGAGGGACTGCTTTAATCAAACTGCACTATCATCAGCAACCACAGCAAGACTAGGATTTAAAATGGAAATAAGTCTTTATTTCAGTCAGTTCCTATTAAAGAGAAAGGAAAGCTTACTAATTTTGTGGCAGCATCAACACTAGCAGTATCCTATAATGGCAGCACTAGCCAAACATTATCTGCTACTGTGCCCTTTGGGGTGAAAGTGTGGGGGAGGAAGGAATTTTCCTCTGTCCTTCTAGGTTCTTTCACCTGGTCTAATAATTAACAAAAGAAAATAACTAAATTTAATTATATACATATGCATGGGAACCCCACATCCATGAGAGAATCAGAGACTCCACATCTGTGAGAGGTCCAGAGTCAGAGAGACAAAGTGAGGTATATGTGACATTCTGAGCTAAGGATGAGATAAGAAGCCTTGGGGTTTCAGAGGGGAGGAAGGTCATTCACAGGACAATAAAACAGATGTTCATTAATTAGAAGTTTGCCCTACCCTAAAGATAGGCCATAAAAAGTTATTTCTGGAAATAACTCTTATGGGAAAGACGCCTAATTTAAATTCTTTAAGGGAGAAGTAAAAGATTCTAATGAGCCTGCAGGGTCTCTATTGCCTTCAGCTCAAAATAATCCACAGGCCAAAGTGGCACATTATGGGGAGGCCTGTTGTGAACCCCTTCAAAAGAGGGCATCAAATAAATGTGTCTAATCACTATGTTGCACATCTGAAACTAGTATCAACTGTAATTGAAAATTTTTTTAATAAAATTTTTAAAAATAATAAACAAGAGAGCATCAATTTATGTGGTAGATAACATCACTGTTTGTTTCCAGGTATATTTTCTTTACTCCTAGATATACAGAGGATTATACTACTGCCCTTAAAGGCACAGCTATTTGACTACTTTGGGCTCATGAAATGTGAGTCAAAGTAACCTGTGCATATCTGGAATATAACATTTTGCTGCCAGTGGTAAACACTCTAGTCCTCTCTTTCTCTGCTGCAGTGAATCCTGAGCCTCATTTTGAGATGTGGGATTGATAAAATAGTGGAGTCTCCATCCATTTGCCAGCCCATGATGGATGCATAGCACAAACAAAAATCTTTGTTGTCTTAGGCCACTGGAATTTTAGGGTCTGTTTCCCAAGTATAACCTAGCTTATCCTTACTGGTATAATTTAATGTCATAAATGTAAGATATAATGACCCCAGAAGCAAAGTACCAGCTTACATTGATGAGAAATAAATATTCCTGAATGGAATGTCAAACTTTAAAGATCTGAATATTAACATTTCCATAGTAAAATTGCAATAAGTTTTTAAATTAATAATATCTAATTTTTATATTTCATGTTGATTCTGGTATCTTAGAAGTTTATTATATGATGATGATATTCTGTTACAGCCAAATATTGATTTTTAACGTAGTTATTTTGCATTTTAGTGCCTCTCTAAAAATATATATACTAAATAAAAATTATATGAATAAAAGCTTGGCTCTGTGCCATTTAAAATAGCTACTTGACAGAAACCCAAAACAATTTGTAAATTAGGTCGCAAATTTATTCTCAGGAAGAATACCTTGATCTTCTAGAATTCAGGCGTTTTTTTTTTTTTTTCTCTTCCTCTGCCATCTTGCATCCTCTATCTTGTCTCTTCTGCTGCCACCAGCTGGCTTCCCCTACGATAAATTTCCGAAACCAGCAGGATTCAATTCAGTGTTTTGTTTTGACTTCTGGGTCCCTGATGAGAACATCAAGTCCATTAAATAAGTAAATTTTTAGGTTGGGAACAGAAAAACAATCATTTCCTACATATTTTGCATAATCAGGAAGCCACGCAGTAGCTGGTACTTGTCTAACAAGTGGTCCAGACAAGACTTCAGGCTAACAAAAGAGAAGACATTTCAGTTTTTAAGTTAATATTCTCACAAATTGGTACTTACAACATAGTCATGGAGATGTAAAGTATAGCAAAAGGAATATAGTCAATAATGTTGTAATAATTATGTATGGTGTCAGATGGGTACTAGATTTATCAGGTGATCACTTTGTAAGTTATATAACTGTCTAATTAATATATTGTACACCTAAAACTAATATAATATTGTATGTCAACTGTAATTGAAAAATAAAAAAAATATTAAGAAGAAAAAAAATCTCCTCTTAGGAAAGAACACTATTACAAACTACAGGAATTATAAGAGCAAAGGTGAGTTCAAATACAATAGTTTACCAACAGTCTTAGTGTAGTTTTAGGTTTAATACCTTCAGAAATACAAAATCTACAAACTTACACAAAACATCATTAGAAAATAAAATTACTTAAATTTCCTTCATGTTTATGTGGTCCTGGGAATTTTTGAACAGTAAACTTATTTCAATTTTTGTTTCAGTCAATATTTGCCATCCTCAATTAGGGGGACTAAAAAATTTTAAATTATTCAAAATTCACAAAATGAATGTGTAAAAAATTTAAATGAACATTCAAGTGATGTTTTTTGCAAGTGTGTAGCATTTATACTTCTGAAATTATCAAAACCTAAAACTGCACTCAAACTTTTGTGATACCTGTACATGGAAAATTGTGGAGTCACAGGGTGCTTAAATATATCTTTTATAATTTACACCCAGCTATGTCCAAAATAAGTTGAAACATTTTATAATACATATACACACATATATACGAGGAGATGAGTCATAAGGTTTCTTGAAGCTCGAGAGATATGGTGCTAAATTATTAAAAGTTTAAGAAAAGTATGGAGAATGAGGCAAACTAGTAGAAATATCTGTAATATAGGTATCTAGTAATTACACTATTTTTACTTCAGAGGGGGTTGAGGGTACATTTTTATTTGAGATACTTGTTCTTAAGATTTTATTATGTTCTCAATATTTGGGTATTAGTAATTTTATTGTTAATTATGCTTTTCCAGGAAACTAACTTTTAAAGATCTTAACATTAAGAGAATGCAGAAAACACTCCATAAATATTAGTTTTCCTCCCCATTAGAGATCGTCTAATTCAGTGGTTCTCAATATTGGCTGAACACTGGGATGACCTAAGGAACTTAAAAAAATACTAATGCTTGGGTCCTGTGCTAACATTGATTCAATTGGTCTGGGCCACAGAACTTTAAAAAGAATTTTAAAAGCCCCATAGTGAACCTGATGTACAGCCAAGGTTGAGAACCACTGCTCCAGGTCAATATATAATCAGAACTATGTCAACATAAAAATATATGCAGATGTTCAGTGCTCCAATTTTTTTTTTTTTTTTTAAGCCATAGAACTAATCTCAAATGTTGTAATGGAAGAAGTGGAGAAAAGAACTTAATAAAAAACATGTATAAATCTCTGTGGGGTGGAAAAATTTCTCTTCCCTTCTAGGTCCTTCTGGCTGGTGTAAGAATTAAATTGACATGAGACAGACTAACAGGAGAAAAGTAAGCAAAAGTTTAATTGTGTGTATACCTTCTGTATACGCGGCAGAGATCCAGGAAAACTCAGTAACTCTGAAAAGGTGAAAGCCATCACCTTAAATATTATCTTCACCTAAAGACAAAAGGTATTTGGGGTGAGGAGGAGGCCAGTTATGGGAAGTTATCAGGAAAAGCACAGTAAACAAGGGTAAGGTTGTTATGTAGATTTGTCCTTGCCTTCGCCATTGATAAGTTTCTAGAGATTTATTCATCCTGCTATTCCTGTTACAGAGAGGGAGTCACCTTTACAAATGGCGATTCCCTTTATAAATGTTAAGTGTTTCTTATAAAAGGGCAACTTCTACTTGGTTTTCAGAGCTTCTCTTACGTCTACTGGTTTTGTTTCGTTTTAAACAGTTTAAAATAAGCAACAAGCCAAATAGGAATACTTTGGTGTAGCAAATTTTCCTCCCCTACAACTTTAAAATATTGTGTTGAGCGGAATATGCCAGACACAAAAGAGTACTTACTGTATACTGTATGACTCTATTTACAAAAGGTTAAATAAATTAGACGGGGGTTGGGTTGACTGGGAAGTACATTCCTCAGAGGGAAATATTACTTTGATCAGGGTACACACATACTGAACCTCATCGAAATGGACAGTTAAGATCTTTATTGTGATTTCGCTATATGTAAATTAACTTCAATAAAAATAACAATTTAAATCTGGATACCTATGACAAGGTGTGGGAGGCAGAGACGATTATTACTTCAGCTGACCCCAAACCCTCACTAGATTAAAAGCAACAGCAAACCTCAGACCAGAACCAGAGAGAATGGAGAGCAAACAGCAGGGAGGGCCAAAGCCTCAGAAATCGCTACAGGGCTGGCAACTGCAACCAAGCTGATGCCAGGGCGGCGGCGCTCGAGAGCCCCACAAAAATAAGCCCCGCACACTTTTCCGGTGCCCGCGCGTCCGTACGTTTGTGTCCCACCGTAAGAGTCCGGAGTGAAACAGCGCCACCGCGAGAAAGGAGCCGGCAGCACGTTGGTTCCTGCGCGGATGCTGCGGTTGTAGGCGCCGTTTGGTTGGCTGGTTGCGGCTCTCAGGGAGGAGGACGCCAGGGCTCGCTTTCCGTCCGCTGCCTCCGCCGCTGCTATGATTCCGGTGTCGCTGCTGGTGGTGGTGGTGGGCGGCTGGACTGCTGTGTACCTGACCGACTTGGTGCTGAAGGTGAGGGCCTCGGGCTGTTGGCCCAAGCCCGCGGTACCCAGGGCCCGTGCGCAAGGCCCGAGGCCTTTTCCCCTACCTCGCGCTTCCCGGGATGGAAGCCGCGCAGCGGGGAGCCACGTGCGGCCTTCCGCATGGCGCCCGGGCCCCGGGAGTAAATAAAGCATGGCGGGCCACGGGAGGGGTGTGGCGGTCTGCGCAGCAGCCGCAGTCACGTTGCGGGGTGTGTAGCCTTCCGATCCTGCCCGTGAGGCGCCGGTTGTGGTTTTGCGAGGGCCGCAGCAGTGCCTCAGGAAAATAAAATGTCCGCCTAGGAAAGGCATTGTTTTCCTTTATTGTCTTTAAGGCCACGACCCTCTAGAGACTCTGGCATTGGAATCAGTGGAAATCAAGTTCTGATTTAGATCAGTGGTCTCAAACTGTAAAGTGCATGGGATCATCTGGGGTTCCGGTTAAAATGCACATTCTGATTCAGCAGGTCCGGGGCGGGGCCTAAGATTCCACGTTTCTAACCAGTTCCCAAGTGCTACCAATGCTGTTTGCTGGACTACAGACCGTCCTTCAAAGTAGCATCCTCAGTAGCAAGGATTTAAGATAACTAGTTTCTGACGTCTCGAATGCCATTTTGCATACTGCATCCTATTCTTCACATTAATCCCCCCCCCCCCACACACACACACATTCTCTGGGAGTACGGTTCATTCTCCAATTATTTGGGAAGGGAAGCAAAAATTATGAACATTTGACCACATGGTTCAAGCAATCTTTTGGAAGTGAGTATTGGAGGGTGGGGGTAACTATGTGTGGAATAAAATCATATAAATTCTCAATGGTTTAATAAAAACAATTATAGATAGTAAAACCATGTTATGAATACCATTTTAAATAGGATACTATAGTTCAGTATTGTGTGTTTTAGGTTTAACAGTAAAATGAAATGATGGTTGTCCTTTGTTGCATTTAAAACTTGTGAAGTGAAGAGGTTATACAGTGGAGTCCTTAGAGCAAGGGCTAGGCTGTTGTGATTTTGGGTAAATAACTCTCTTGTGCCTTGGTTTCTTCATCTTTAAAATAAGGATAAAAATAGTAAGCGCTTCCTGATACTGTAGAGGGGATTACATTATTTCATCCGCATAAAGCCTTGTTACTCAGTCTGAGGTTCAAGGACTTGCAGCACTTGAATTACCTGGGACCTTGTTAAAAATGTGGAACCTCAGTCTTCATCTCTGACCTATAGAATTAGACTCTGCAGCTTTGCAAGATCCCCCAGGTGCTTCCTATGCACATAATTGGCATAGTGCTTAGCATGTCATAAGCAGTACAGGCCACTGCTTCTTTAAACAGTGATTTTGTTGTTTAGAAAAAAACAAAGCCACAGGATTTCTTCATGTTGTACATGTGACAAAAGTCCAAAATAGGATGAACTTTTCAAACCTCCACAGTCTCTGGTTAAGTATGTGAGGTGATCAGGGTGGTCCTTTAATTTCAGTAACAGCCCTTGGCTCCTTAAGAGAGCACTATTCCTTGAGCAAAAGACCTAAGTCTCATTCCAAGTATCTGCCTGGAGAAAGGAGAGACCTTAGAGTTTTCAGAGTCTGCACCTTCAACTTTTCTGTTTCCAACATGGTCTGCTGTTCTACCCTTGGTTCTTCTAGGATTTCCTCAGTAGACATCTGCTGAAGGGATGTGTCACTTTTCCAAGTCCTGGGGAACAGACAGGTTTAAGGAACTTCACCTGATGATTGAGAGCAGAGGACATTACAGGTCCAAAGCAAACACATACCTGTGTTCGGACTCAGGTCATTTTTATGTGATAGGGCTGAAATATCCAGGGACAGAAAAGTTTCTCAAATGGACACTGATATGACAAAATACATACTGTACTTACTGTAACTGAGGTAATAGAGGTCACTGTCAGTGTATATAAAACAGCCTTACATATCCAAGATCCTTACTCAAGGACTTCAAACTTACCTAAAGATAAACCTCTTGGTAGGCTGTGTATAAGCAGCTATCCCTCCAACCCTGAAGAATGTAAGAGAAGTTACTGAGACCAGGTTGGCTTTAGACAAATACTTTTAGGTGATCAAAGTCACCTAATTTCTTAGGGTTGTTGCTCGGAAGAGGATAGATAGCACTGATCCCCTCTGTTGATTGGTTATGGATCTTTTAAAATTACAACAACTCTTTCTATGGTAACAAGGCTTCTAGGTCTGCATTGTCCTGTATGATAGCCACTAACTACACATGGCCATTGAACATGTGAAGGGGGGCTAGTCTGAATTGAGATGTGCTGTAAGTGTGGAGTTGATACCAGATTTCAAAGATTTAGTGCATGAATGAATGAATGGGGTTGTAAATTATTTCAGTAATGTTTTATATTGATTTCATGTCGAAATGATATCTTGGATATTTTTAGTTAAAATATATTTAAATTAATCTGTTTCTGTTTATGAAATTTGGCTACTGAAGATTTTAAATTACGTATGTGGCTAGCATGTGTCGACGTTAAGAAATGTCCAAACCTGTAGGGAATTTCAGTGAGTTTATTTGAGCCAAACCGACAACAATTGCCGGGAAGCAAAATCTCAACAGATTGCGAAAATGCTCCGGCAAGTGGCAGTTTTGCAGCTTATTTTATACATTAGAATCAAAGGCGGAGACATAAGGAGGTTTACATGAAACCCATTGGTGGTGGAAGGTACAGAGAATTAATAATTAACATTTTTAGCACATAGAGGTGGTGTGCAGGGGACAAGATCACAATAGGGATTCTGTGGTCTCCTGGTCTGGTGCAGAGGGTTGTGCCCTGAGGGGTCTGGGAAAAAGGGATTGCTCTGACATTCCAGGGATATGTTTTCTTAGAAGCAAAAAGACATTAGATGGGCTCACTTAAGATAATGATTGACCTTTGTCAAGAAAGCTACAGGCCTGGGATGTGACTACTCACCCTGACCTGCTTTAAGTTAGAAATTTTTATGTTCAGACCATCATATGTGGTTTCTTTTGGTCTCTTGAGTTTGTAGGGCCTGCCATGCTGTTCTTCCCTGAGCTTGTCAGGTTTAGTATGTGGCCCCTTTTTCGTCCACACTTCCCCCTTTTGGTCATAAATTGATCCAAAGGATGCAAGGATGCAAGCCTCTTGGTTGGATAATGTGGTCCCACAGTGCTAGGAAGGCTCATTCATAGGAAGCCTTAGTGTCATTTGTCTTGCTGAAACAATGGACCATTGGGGATGGGACAAAACCGTAACCCTGGATGGATGTCAAAGCTGATTTTTTTTTTTCTTAAAAGGGAATGGTAGGTAAATGGGAAGCAGTCAGGTCTTATGGCCCTTCATTAAGTAAAAAACACACTGGATGATTTCTAACCTACAAGGTTTGCTATCTATCTCACTTTTCTGTATTTTGCATCTAATATAACATTTACTTATAGTTTGAGAGCACACTGATACATCTCTTCAGTTTTCACAATCTGACCATGAGATGGGTTTCTGTTTACTGGTGGTGGTGATAGTGGTGTTATTATTTTAATATGGCCCATCTACTGCCCATTGGAAGCACTCAGATGTCATTCATTATTTATTTGGTTCCTGCTAGTTGTACAATTGAGAACTGTAACTTTATGGTTTAATCAGGGCCAAGGCTATAAGAACATAATGGTGTGAATTACAATTACCATCTAAAAATTTCCAGAGGCCTGGACAGTAAGAGTTTTGTAAGTAAATTTCCTGTGCCTCAGTAGCTGTTACAGAGGGCCATTTTTTTAATATAGCCACTTCAGCTTCCATCTGAATTAACATAGTTATTGGTCTTTGTTGGGTTAGAGATAAGCGTGTTCCCATAACTGGATTCTAGTGTTTATACATAAAATTTTCTCAAGATTCCTTTTCCAGTAACCTACAACTTTCTTTATCCTCAATTTGTCTCTTTTTACTCATTCAGAAATAACCAACTTATTATAACGAACTACATTTTAACTTCTCTCAGAAACACATACACATCTCTTTCCTTCGTTCTGCAGTAACATTCCTTCTAAATTTCAAAAGAGAAACCATAAAAAGAGTATTATTGATAATATAAAAGTTATACACCTTCAGCAATTATTAACAGGCTATATAAGAACAAGGATTGAGAAAAGCCCAAAGAACAAGTATAACTATTATTATGACTAATATTATTAGCAGACAATCAAACAAATGGTTTTATAAGTTCAAAATCAATTATGAAGGTATGTACAGGCCACCTCGATGTCTTGAGATAGCTGTCTACCACTGATGTCGGGGACTTCTCATCCTCAAGGAGTCTTTGATGTCCACTGTAGGCAGAGGCAAGTGTCAGACAGGGACAATGTCCATTTGCTCTTAGGTGCCTTTTTTTCTTTTTGGATCAGACCGCATTTATTTATTCGTTTAATATTGTTTTAGCATTTTATTATTAGTTTCAAGTATATAGTACATTACTTAGACATTTATATAGTTTATGAAACGATCCCCCGATTGCTGTTTTCTCTGGCTCTACACCTAGCCATTCATTACTGCTGACTGCATTCTCTATGCCATGCTCCCCATCTCTGTGACCATCCATCAGCTACTAATTTGTACTTCTTTAACCCATCACCCCATTCTCCCAGTCCCCTATCGCCCCTCCCCTCTGGCCATCACCAGATTGTCCTCTATATTAGTGAGTCTGTTTTTGATTAATTTGTTTTTTTTGTTCCTTGGATTCTGCATATACGTGAAATCATGGTATTTATCTTTCTCTGTCTGACTTATTTCACTCAGCATAATAACCTCCAGGTCTGTTCATGCCATTGCAAATGGTAGCATTTCATTTTTTTTTTGATGGCCAAGTGATATTCCATTGTATATATGAATCATAACTTCTTTGTCCAATCGTCTGTTGATGGGCATTTAGGTTGCTTCCATATCTTGATTATTGTAAATTGTGCTGCCATGAACGTAGGGGTGCATAGATCTTTACGAATTATTGTTTTGGTTTCCT